TCTCCCTGGGGTGGGTGTTTTGTGAGCTGTGGGGGGTGGAAGGAAGGAGCACTCACTGGGAGGCCAATCCTGCTGCTGTGACGCCACAAACTAACACAAGCACACAAATGTTTTTGCGTCCAGCACAAACCGATGAGGGTAGAGCGTGCGGGAGAAGGAGGGTGGGGGTGGGGGTGGAGGGGTTGTGATAGAGAGAGAGAGCAAATTGCTGCAGTGCTCAAATGATCCTTGCCCTAACTCACCCCTCCCTCTCCAGCTTGTGCCGTTGACTTTCCCTTTTTTTTTCATCATTATGATTAAAATTTTGTAGTTGCTGCATGACGGTCAGACAGAGCACTGACAGGATAGACAGCAGACAACGATGGAGCCCTCCACTCTGATCGTTCCTCACCCACCCTCCTTACTTTTGCACCCCCTCTGGCCTGTCCCAGGTGGTGTGAAAGCCTGCTGCTTGGGATAACCTTGAAACGTGACGCAGTGGCAGCTTGAGTTATAATTAAAGTGCAGGAAACAACAGCATCTGTGCAAAGCACCCGAGGTAAAATATAAATGAATCATTTTTCTTGGGCATTTAAAATTGTATTTCCTCTTACACTTACATCATCTTGCGTCTTGCTGTGAAATGATTCTTTTTAAGTGTTTAAATGCTTTTTATAACACTTTTCTAAATATATTTTTTTCTTTTAATTATGAATGTAGGTCAGCTCTATTCTGTAAATTTAATTAAAAAAAAAAATCAGATAAATTGACACTCTGGAAACCAGTCCATCACTGGACATCCCCATCCAAACTGCTTCACAGACCAGTGATTTAAAGTCACGCTGGTCAGGTGATGAAAGCCCGAGGAAGCGGCGTCACAGAGCTCTGCAGTGACCTCCTTTCCCTCCTTTTGCTCTTCTCTTTTGCTTTTCTTTTGCTTTCCCCCCAAACATCCACTGATCACTGTCCTGCTGCAAAGCTGTAACCCTCACTGTCTTTTCCTCGCTGTTTCTCACTGTCCACCCTCTGGACCCTGCACCAGTCCTGCAGCAGTATCCCACCAGCACTCACTCCATCCCCTCCTTCCTGCCTTCTCTTCTCTTTTTCCTCCTCCTCCTCTCTCTGTTCCTCTCACAAGTCTCAGACATGGATCCCAGATCATATGATGCAAAAAGTACATGAAGTAATTCCACATATAGACCAAAAAATGAGTGCACCTCCCCCCCACAACCCTCCAAACTCTTTTTGCTGCATGATATGTTACATACCTACATACATTACCCCCTCCTTGGTCTTAGCTGCTGCTTCCTCCATGCCAGCTTTGGTCTTCTCTGCGGCGGCCACCACCCCCTCCTTGGCCATGGAGAACCCCTTCATCAGTACATCCATGTTGGGCGATGAAACAGTTGGGCTCCCCTGCTCCAAATGGGCCTGGCTGGTTGGCTGGCTGGTGCTTACAGTGAGCGTGCAGAAGTGATGCTGTGAGATGTCAGAGTGTGTGGCTGGGTGAGTATGTGTAAGTGCCTGTTTCCTGGTGGCTCCTCCTCCCTTTGGTGCTCCAACAGAGGGCTGAGAGGAACACACAGCAGGGCTACAGCACTCAGACTGAGAGAAACAGGAGGGAGGATACAGCCAATATGTAAAAAGATGGGGAGAGGAGGAGGAGGAGAGGCAGCCGGATGCTGCAGCATTTTCAAGTCATGCTGCAACCCCGCCCCTTTAGTCATCCCTCCACTCTCGTCCATCTTTTCTTCTGGTGACTCTCTCTCATGCTCAGCTCAGCCTCTGGCTATCTGTTTGCATATTTTGATTGGCACGCTTTGCTCTGGGCACACCTTTGTAGATGCTGAGGCTCTATGCGCTGGTTACTTAACCGACAGATCCTCTTGTCAGATCATATGCATCCTTAAATTTTGCAATGTAATCTGCAGTTGCATCACAGAGCTTGTCCCAAACATTTGCTTCCTTTGTTTTTAATTTCTTAGCAAAATGTTCTTAGTTAATACTTTATTTATATGCTTTTCTATTCTTTTTACTTATAGTATTGCTGTTTATATTAATGCTTTGCCATCAGCTCAGATTTTTTTATTTTTACCACTTGAGCTGAATCAGAATGCATTAAAAAAGACAAAGGGAGCATCTACAGCTATTTCTGTGGTTGTGATTGGAGAGAAATTGCTTTGTCATCTTCACCTGAATGAGTCACAACAGCCCCGCTCTTCCTCTTCCTCCTCCTCCTCCTCCTCCTCTTTCTGTTTCACTCAGACATGCCGATTCAGCAGTGCAGTGATTCTGAGTGACATTGATATCACAACCAGGGTTTGAAATGATCCGGAACCTTCAGCACCTTCAGTCATTAAATCTGAGGCAGGTTAAGGTAATTTTCCGTGTGCTGCTGCCTGGTGTTGCTTCCAGTGAAAACATGGAGATATACTTGCTCAGTAATAAAAACAAAAACGTCCCACGACCCGCTACACCCTCAACACATCCTTTTTTCTTCTCGTCCCTGTGATGCGTTCGCGGTGCACATGTAAAGTTGGAGTGACATGGAGTGAAACGTACAGGAGAAGAAATGTGAGATTATTTTCAAAAGCCAGTTTAGTTTAGCTTTTAAATCACACATTGGATCCGTACTTGGTATTTTGCTGTTTTTGTGAAATATCCTGCAAAATAAACTGTACTTGAATAATAATTTTGTGTTAGTCAAAGGTTTAATGAAGATACTAGGCTACATTGGTTAGTTTGCGGTAGTGTAATAAAGAATACACTGATTCACTGTATTGGACTAGTGCAGAAGAGGCTGTGGTATTCATGTAAGGCTGTAGGAAGGGTAGCAGACATCGATTTCTAATAAAGGTGATGATGCACACTAGATTCAATCACTGAATTCTACTTTATATTGTGCATTTGTTGGATATCAGCTTGTAAAACATCTGCAAATCAACGAAAAGTAATCAATATCAGAGTCATGTGACTTATCTACAGGTTATTCCTCACCAGCTAAATCCCACTTTACACAAGCTCCTTTTTTTTTTCAAAAAACAAACAAACAGTTGTTTGATATTAAAATGTTGGCAAGTAGGAAAATAATTATATTCACTGTATAATACTAGATAAAGGAAGGGATGAAGCTAGAACACCGTGATCCATGAAGCGCTGTTTTGCTGTTGCAGAGGCGGAGGGTCCCTCCTTCAGGTCTTTGACTGCCCTCTGGTGTTCACAGGACTCATCGCATCATGACGCAGCATTATGGCAG